TCAGCCTAAATGTTTCTAACCGAGGAAGATCTTCCAATAGTGGGGTCCACGTTTCGCAAGCGTAGAGAAGGGAGAGAAGACCTGAAGCTTCATGCGGAGCGACAGACCAGGTAGCTTCCACACAGCATTACGCAACTGATGAAAAGATAATGCCGCTCAACTGATTCGGAGTAAGACCTCTGCTGTTAAACCGGAGCCGGTCATGAGCACACTGCCCAGGTACGGGAAACTCTCCACTCTCCACAACTGCCCTATCACCAATTGGGAGTTGTGGGGGTGGAGTGTCCGATGGTACAAAATACTCAGGCAGGTGCTTAGTTTTGGTGGGGCTGATGATAAGGCCCCACCTCTTAGTGGCAAACTCCAGGTTCAGCAGCAGCACCTCCAACTCCTCCTCTGAGTGACCAGCAATTACCAGATCATCGGCATACATAACATAGTTGAGCAATAGGGAGCTATCCCTTGACCACACCCAGGCATCGATCAGCCTCCCATTGTATCTGTACCAGTTATAAATTCCTCCGGTACAGCTATTGAAGGTTTCACAAACAACGTGGTCGGAATAGATGTTAAATAATGTGGGAGCCAGAGGACATCCCTGTCGCACCCCAAGGTGTACAGGGAATGGCTCTGACTCCCGGCCACGTAGTTTTACCGGGGCCCGCTCACCATCATGAAGGTCCTTAATGATTGTGACCAGAGGGTCAGGAACTCGGAAAGCACAAAGAACTACCCAGAGCCCAGGCCTACTGATGGTATCATAGGCCTTGATCAGGTCAATAAAGCAGAGATGTAGGTCTTGTTGGAATTCCCTACACCTTTGCTGTAGCAGACGGACAGAAAATATGGCATCTGTGCAGGACTGCCCTTTCCTGAAACCACATTGGGGCTCTGCAAGCCTTTCCTCAGCGTGCCTAGCAAGGCGATGTTGAATAATCCTTGCCAGGACCTTTCTCGGCACACTGAGGAGTGAGATGCCCCGCAGTTGTTACAGTCTGTGCCGTCCCCCTTCTTAAATAGGGAGGCCACCAGGGCATCCGTCCAGTCCTGCAGAACCCATCTAGTGGTCCAGACTCTTGTTATGATGTCATGTAGGGCAGTCTGTGCACAAACGCCACCCTCCCTCAGCATTTCGCTTGGGAGATCATCTCTGCCCGGTGCCTTTCGTTTTCTCAGACTCTGGATCGCCTTCAGTACTTCCTCAACAGATGGCACCTTAGCCAGGCACTCACAGGGGGTGACTTCTTCCAATATTTGAGGCACCGCAGCCTCGGCAGGGTCATCCTCACTTTGTCCCATGTTGTTATTCAGGCTGAGGGATGTCCCCTCCCCCAGGACCTCACAGAAATGCTCAGCAAATCTGCGAACCCAAAGTAGCCTGGGGCTTACAGCTTCCAACACCTCACTGCCATGCTCCCACTCCCCCTTCATTCTTTTGTTCAGAAGAAGAACCACTCCCTGTTGTTTGGGAGTCTCCTGCTCCGAGAAGAGGACTGTCCACCCCTCATGGTGGCAGGAGCCAGAGCCAGTCGGCCGGACCTCCTGAATGCCACAGAGATCCAGGCGGTACCGGTCCAGCTCCCGACAGAGGAGTGGCAGCCTCTCCTCCACAGTGAGCATTCGAACATTCCACGTGGCCATCCGTAGAGGCTTTTTGTTGTTTCTGGAGTAGCCCCGAGGGTAAGGATTCAGTCTCCTGGCTCTGCCAAATGGGGTTTGGTCAGGAGACGTCATAGACGTCTGTCCCCCGGGGCCTCCGGCACAAGCTTATTAATTAAAATTTTCCGTCATGGTTTAGCGGTAATTAATTGAAGGTGGAGGGGTGACCAGTCCCTCACACCCATCCTTAGCCCCCTTTTGGCCGCTGGGGTGGTCACAAATGCCATGAGGGGAAAGGCCAATCGGAATTGGTCCTCCCCCCACAGCAATGCCCACAACAGCGTTGCCCGTCCGGCACCACGAGGAAGTAGGGGGTTGTTTTGCCCGACTAGAGACACACACACACGTAGAGAAAGACATACACACAGAGACACACACAAAACGACATATACACATACATACATATAGAAAGAGATATATACACGTACATACACACAGACACACACATAGAAAGGGACGTATACACATATAAATATACATATACACGTACAGTAGGACGGATCCAGGTTATTGTATATTTTACAGCGTGTACATGATTCACGACGTTTAAATGTCACTGGTTCTATTCATGCCGTCAAAACTCGATTTACGTCGCAGCTTCCGACACGACTCTGAAGGTTTCCGATGTGGCTTCGGCGCTTTTGCTCTTCTCAAGGGGGTTTTTTTCGCGTTGTTTTTCTCTTGCCGAACCCCCCCCCCCACCCCTGTTAAACACGACCTATGGAAAGAGAAAAAAAAACGCAACAACATCGTCAAGTGGCGTTTCTCCTGTTTGTACTATGGGAAAACGGGCTCGTTATACGACGGGAGTTCCATGGATTTATTGTGTCGTAAAACGGGGATCTCCGGTATATACTTTATTATCGTATAAGACAAAGAACCACCGTATAGCCTTGGACTGGCTTTTAGGGCAAGTGCTGTTAGCGAGCACCTATGAAGGACGGAACGGCACACGAGCGGGTGGGTGGCCAGCACCACACCCGGCCGCTTTTGTCAACCCCGCAACTCAATTGAGGCTGAGTCGACCAAGGGAAGGCCCAGGACTAGTTCAGATAATCGTCACCGGTGTTGGCCGTGGCCAGGGATTGAGCTCGTATTGGCGGGTTCGTAGCGCTAACCGCTACTGCATACACACACGTACACTCGAGCATGTGTGTGTGTACGCGTGTGTATGTGTGTGTACTCGTGTGTGTGTACGCCTGTGTGTGTACGCACGTGTGTGTGTGTACGTGTTTGCGTTGAGCGGTAGTGTAGTGGTTAGCGTGGAGCGGTAGTGTAGTGGTTAGCGCGCTGCGCTACGAGCCCGGCCTCCCAAGTTCGATTCCCGCTCACGGGCAACACCCAGTGACGATTATCTGAAACGGTCGTGGGCCTCCCCTAGGTCGACTCAGCCTGAAATGAGTACCTGATGCGGGAGACAAAGGCGGCCGGGCGTGGTGCTGGCCACCCACCCCCTCGTGTGCCGTTCCGGCCTACACAGGTGTTCGCTAACAGCACTTTCCCCAACAATCTGTTCAGGCTATACGGGGGATCTTTGTCTTTTGTACGCGCGTGTGTGTGACACTGACTGCGCGACGGGCAGAACGTTTGACAGCAATTATGGTCGATGAAACGTTTATTTTTAATAAAGGGAACTGGAAGGAATCATGGTTATTAATCTGCCAGAGACAGGGACAAAACAAAGATCCCCCGTATAGCCTCTAACAGACTGCTGGGGCAAGTGCTGTTCTCGAGTAGCACCTATGAAGGCCGGCACGGCACACGTGGGTGTGGTGTGTTAAACACCACACCCGGCCGTCTTTATCTCCCCACTGCTGTTGCTTACACACCGCACCCTGGTAACTCGTTAAATGCGTGCGAGACGTCGGACCGGTTCAGATATTCCGCACCAGTGTGGTGCCGCGTCGTGAGCTGGGGTCAAACCTGGGTCGTCTGGTTCGTAGCGCAGTGCCCTAACCACATCGCCACCGCTCCTCCTCCCCGCCCACACTCACAAAATCCCCGCAGTCTCTGGAGAACTTCTGGCAAGGGTACAAAAATGCGACGCGTTCCAAATGAAAGAAGCCCACCCGGTGGCGCGGCCCCGCCACGGAGTGCGCAGGCGGTGCAACTGCGCCGGTTGCCCACCACAAGATGCAGGGGGCCCAGGGTCGAGAGGACACCCCGGGCAAAGGGTGGCTCAATGCCAACCGTGCTGACACCACGGAGACCCATAGACTCACGCATAGAGGCCCATCGACTCGCACAAAGAGACCCATAGACTTGCATAGAGACTCGTATACTCAAACATAGAGACCCATAGACTCACGCAAAAAGGCCCATCGACTCGCACAAAGACACCCATAGACTTTCATAGAGACTCGTATACTCAAACATAGAGACCCATAGACTCGCGCAAAGAGGCCCATCGACTCGCACAAAGAGACCCATAGACTTTCATAGAGACTCGTATACTCAAACATAGAGACCCATAGACTCACGCATAGAGGCCCATCGACTCGCACAAAGAGACCCATAGACTTTCATAGAGACTCGTATACTCAAACATAGAGACCCATAGACTCACGCAAAGAGGCCCATCGACTCGCACAAAGACACCCATAGACTTTCATAGAGACTCGTATACTCAAACATAGAGACGCATAGACTCACGCAAAGAGACTCATACACACACATAGAGACCCATATACTTACATAGATACCCATATAGTTACAAAGATGCCCATATACTCACACATAGAGACCCATCGACTTACATAGAGACTCATATACTCACACATAGAGACCCATAGACTCCCACATAGAGACCCATATACTCACATAGCGACCCGTAAACTCACGCGGATAGAAACCCTATACTCCCAGGGAGTATGCTGTCAACCTGCCCAGCTTCAGTTCGATTTTCGGCCACGGCTAACATCAGTGGCGAGTGATATCGGGCAACCCCTGAGCACCCCTCTATTCAGCTTCTTCACGGACCCGCACTTAACCGGCAGGGTGAAGTATGGTCAAACAGCCCACATGACTGATGCGTCGTGGGGAGACCTTCACCCAGCAGTGGATTGACAAAGTGATCGTGGAATAATTAAAGTGTTATATTCTTATTTCTGTGTTGTTCTCTCTCTCACTTCCCATTCCCTCATTCCCTATCTTCCCCGATGCCACCACGACTACCACCACCACCACCACCACACTACCATCAATACGACCACCGCTATCAACACCACCACCACCGCTATCAACACCACCACCACCATGGACACGTGCTGACACCACAACCACCATCGCCAAAATCACCATCGTCCCCGTCACCTCCACCACCTCCACCCTCCTCCTTGCAGAAGCGCTGGCATAGCCCTCCTCCACCGCCGTAGCGATGGAAGGGAGCGTCGAGCAGGGCGGCCGGTGGCTCGGACACCCCCACGGGCCCTCTGCGTCGCTCGCCCCGGGGCAGCACCACCACCACCACCACCACGGCCACCACGGCGTGGAGTCCAACCTAGGCCACGGCGGCTACGGGGCCGAGTCCGGGGCGGCCGGGCAGCTCATGCCGGCCGACGAGCTGGACGCCTTCCTCAACCACCTGGACGGTCCGGGGGCCCCCGTGCACGGGCCCTACTACGCCGCAGCGCCCGGCGCTCGCCTCCACGGCTACCGGCAGGCCCACGGTACGCTTGTGGGCGAGCCACTGTGGCTATGAGATGTTAACTACCTCGCCTGGTATGCAGGAGGTCGTGGGTTCGATCCCGACCCTGACGCCTGCTCTATATTTGGAGGTGGCGGTGTCTCTCTCTCTCTCTCTCATCATCATCACGGTGGCTAGGAGATGTTAACTACCTCGCCTGGTATACAGGAGGTCGTGGGTTCGATCCCAACCCTGACGCCTGCTCTATATTTGGAGGTGGCGGTGTCTCTCTCTCTCTCATCATCATCACGGTGGCTAGGAGATGTTAACTACCTCGCCTGGTATACAGGAGGCCGTCGGTTCGAATCCGACCCTGACGCCTGCTTTATATTTGGAGGTGGCGGTGTCTCTCTCTCTCATCATCATCACGGTGGCTAGGAGATGTTAACTACCTCGCCTGGTATGCAGGAGGCCGTGGGTTCGAATCCGACCCTGACGCCTGCTTTATATTTGGAAGTGGCGGTGTCTCTCTCTCTCTCTCCCCGTGGTCGCGTGGATTTTTCTCCGTGGTCCTCCGGTTTTTTCTATCCACAGTTAGAATCGGCAACAACCGCTCAGGGCATTTGGCTGCTATAAATGTATACTTGATGACAAACCGCCACTTCGTTGAGCAATAATTAGTGATAGCCAGGTCGCTTCTCAAAAAGAGCTAAATTGCTCAGTGGGGCCTTAACCTGGTAAAATAGAAATGAATAGTCGTGATACCTTCTCTGTATGTTCTTCCCACGTGACACCGTCACCTCCTGGATCATGATCCCATCCCCGTCTCTCTCTCTCTCTCTCTCGCCGCCTCTCGTATCGGAGGGAGCGTGCGTGCGCGCTGTTCAATAATGCGCGCACGGACGGAGCTTGGGGTGGCATTCACGCCGGCTGACAGTCACGCAGCCCCGGGCGTTTCAGGGAGGGATGAGGCTCCGGGAGAGATCGTCGGCGTGAAATGTGCTCAGACGCCGAGAGCGTGCTCGGCGTCTGCGTCTGCGTCTGCGGACGTCCCGCGCGGCTGCGCGTCGGATCATCCCGCGCGAGCTCTTGTGTCGCGTGGGACAAAAATAATCGACGCGTTCCGCAAGTTCGACTGCACCCCCCCCACCACCACCACCACCCCCAACAACAATAACTACCCCACCCTCATCTTCTTTGGGTCTTTCGGTACAGTCACGTAGATAGGTTCATAGACGTTTTTTGTTTTTCTTGGAACCTATCTACGTGACTTTACCGAGAGACCCAAAGAATATGAATTCCTGCAGTAACGAAAGCCTTAAGTCAAGATTATTACCCAACCCACTTTAGAGGACGAAACGCGTGTGTGTACATTTGGGTGACGTTTCGGGCAATGGCACTACTTTATGGCAGGGCCATTGCTGTGACTAAAGTTAACGGTGAAAAGAAAATGCACGCGCCGTCGTTGACGGATGCGCGAGTTCGTCTGTCGATGACTGAGCTGCAACGGAAGCAGCACCGTGCAGTCGTGGTTCTAAACGTGTGAATCCGCCGATGTAAAATAATGTACGATATAATTGAAATCCATATGGTAGCCTGGAACGATATGAAAGCACTTTGCAAACTCCCTGATGGTGCACAATGCGGGTTTACGAGAGGAGCCGGGGGGCTGATGACGTCTCGCGTGCAGAGCGTCCGCTGAATTTTGTTTTAATTCGCTTGCGGTTACTTAGCAGCTGGTTAGGATAACTCACGAAGCGGGCGATTGGTTAGGATATTGACGTTCATTGTTCACACGGTGATTACTCAGAACCACGTTGGGTCAGGCAAGGGAGCTACTCGGTTTGAGACAAAATTCAACAAAGTGGGGGGGGGGGGGGGGGCACTACAGTAGCCGACAAAGTCTGAGAACCGGAGCTGAATGGCGCAGAGCCACGGGCACACGCGGAGTCCGAACTCCCGGCGAAGACGAACAGCGAGCGCCCCAAGCTGTGAATGGAACAGGGGCAAGCGAAGAGTGAGAAGGTGGAGGTAGGCAAGGACTAATTAATTTAAACTATTTTTTTTATTCCACCAGGTAAGGCCCCACTGTGAGCTGCTATGTGACTTTTTCAGAAGCGACCTGAATCTCACTAATTCTAAGTCAACGAAGTGGATCATTTTTTTTTCCTTGTTTTAAAGCTTTCGTGACTGCAGGGATTCATATTCTTGGTTCTTCCGGTAAAGTCACCACGTAGAAGGGAAATAATGAAATGATAAAAATAAAAAATACAATTCTCAAGATGTTTCGATTGCAACACAAGCAATCATCATCAGGTGTGAAAACCACAGCATCATCACCTGATGATGATTGCTTGTGTTGCAATCGAAACGTCGTGAGAATTTTATTGTTTTTATTTTTATTATTTTATCATTTCCCTTCTACGTGACTTTACCGAAATAACCACGAACATGTATGAAGTGTCTTCTTGGTTCTTTCGGTAAAGTCACGTAGAAGGGAAATAATAAAATAATGAAATAAAATACTAAAATTCTCACGACGTTTCGGCCACAACACAAGTGGCCTTCTTCAGGTGAAGAAGCAGGTCTATCAAGAAGACAGAACTTGAATGAAACGCTGTCAAGCAAGGACCGCGCCTTTTGAAACTTTGTCGGGCGGAGTTGAATTAGCCCCCCTCCCTCCCCTGCTCCGGAGGTGGGGCTGGTAACATGCTAATTCAACTCCGCCCACACAGTTTCAAAAGACGCGGTCCTTGTTTGACAGCGTTTCATTCAAGTTCTGTCTTCTTGATAGGATAGACCTGCTTCTTCACCTGAAGAAGGGCACTTGTGTTGTGGCCGAAACGTCGTGAGAATTTCATTATTTTATTTCATTATTTTATTTCCATTCTACGTGACTTTACCAGAGGATGAATCCCTGCAGTCACGAAAGCTTTAAATCGAAATGTATGAAGTGGCTCATCATCAATATCATCACGTGGAAATGTATAGCAGTAGCCAAATATCCTAAACGCACTTTGATTCTAAATGTCGAGGGAAAACCTGTAGGACACGGCACCCATGCACCAAACAGGGAGAGAGATGTCCGAACTCCAAATTTGCAAGCATCAGTAAGGAGATTGAACCCCGGCGAGGTAGTTAACATTTCTCCAGACGAGGTAGTTAACATCTCGCCAGACGAGGTAGTTGGCATCTACACCATTGGAAACCTCATTTGCCAGTAACAAAATATGATCATTGGTATTTTTACCCTTTTATCTGGCAACAAAACTGACACCTTTTTTACAAGGAGTCATGTTTACATTGACCACAATACCTGCGGTCGGAACGCAAACAAAAAAACAACAACTCTGATAATGTATGTGGCACTGTCCTTGAAATTGATTGGTCCACACCCGAGACAGCTTTCTTGAGAGCCTCGTCTCACGTTGGTGTTGGACCAGAAGACGCCAAAAGGCGCACAACTCAAAGACAATGCACCATCAGAGTATGAGAGCTCGGGGTTAAGCATTTACACCATTGGAATCCTCAGTTGCCAGTAACAAAATCTGATAATTGTTTTTTTACTCTCGGTCGCCTTGCAGTGCGGAGTTTGTTTGGTTCTGCACCTGCTCTGCCTGCGTTGTCTCTGTGTTCTCCGGTGTCCTCCTCGAGCTAAAAACAAACAACAACAACAACATTGTAACTGATATCGGCTAAAACATCCCAAAGTAGCAGCCAGCTGGATCCTCCTGAAAGAAAACGACTAGTTTTCCTGGCTAAATTGTCATCGTACTATGTTAGGATAAAAGTTTCTGGCTGGCCGGCATGTCGTGTCGTGGGGGAGGAGGGGGGCGCCATGGTGGTGAAATGTTAACTACCTCGCCTGGTATACAGGAGGTCATGCGCTCGATCCCGACCCTGACGCCTGTATATATTTACTAGTAACGAATTGGCACGTTCTGTTTACATGACAAACCTTACTAATTGGCTGTGTCGGGTGGTGGTGGGTTTAACGACACATATATGTATGCAATCTAACCCCAGAAAACCTGTATTATGGATATTTGTCGCAAAAGCCTACGTGTTCAACTGTACATTTGGAGTTTGTCTCTCTCCTCATGGTAGCATGGATGTTTTTCTCTGGGTCCTCCGCTTTTTCCCTGCACATTTAGAAAAAAATTTAAACGTGTAGAGGGATTGTAAATGTTGTGGCTTGGCTCTCCAACACACTCTACTCGTAACGAATTGGCACGTTCTGTTTCCATGCCAACCCTTGCTAATTGGCTGTATTGGGTGATAAGCCACTTCGTTGAGCTATCATTTGTGGCCAGGTCATTTCTGAAAAACAGCTATACAGCTCAGTGGCGCCTTACCTGGTAAAATAAAAAATTTTGAGTGGGCGAGCGGGTGGGCAAGTGACGTCATGTGGTGATGTCACCATCCACACCTCCCCCCGCCCACACGTCCACCCTCCGCCCCCACTGTGTACCCGACACATATGTGCGGAAAGTAACAAGAAGAGGCATTTTTTTTTCGAATTCGGGCAAAGTGGTCGCAATGCGCTGTGGTGAATACGAAGACGGTGGTCCTTAATGAATATAGTCACGAAGCAACAGTCCTTAAAGAGCCACCGCATGCAGCTTCGGAACCGCAGGTTGTCGACCCTTGGGCTAGTCCATCCTGCTGCTACTCTCTGCCCTGCCCCCCCAGCTATGACCAGGCCTACCCTTACCCCTATCACTGTCACTACCCCTGGCACTAGCCGTATCACTACCCATTACTACCCCCGAGCACTACCCATACTGCTCCTTCATCCACAGCTCTCTCCTTCATCCACAGCTCCCTCCTTTGTCCACAGCTTTCCCCCTTCATCCACAGCTCCCTCCATCCACAGCTCCCTCCATCCACAACTCCCTCCTTCATTCACAGCTCCCTCCTTCATTCACAGCTCCCTCCTTCATTCACAGTTTGCTCCTTCATTCACAGCTCCCTCCATCCACAGCCCCCTCCTTCCTTCACAGGTCCCTCCATCCACAGCTCCCTCCATCCACAGCCCCCTCCTTCATTCACAGGTCCCTCCATCCACAGCTCCCTCCTTCATTCACAGCTCCCTCCATCCACAGCTCCCTCCTTCATTCACAGGTCCCTCCATCCACAGCTCCCTCCTTCATTCACAGCTCCCTCCATCCACAGCCCCCTCCTTCATTCACAGGTCCCTCCATCCACAGCTCCCTCCATCCACAGCCCCCTCCTTCATTCACAGGTCCCTCCATCCACAGCTCCCTCCTTCATTCACAGCTCCCTCCATCCACAGCTCCCTCCTTCATTCACAGGTCCCTCCATCCACAGCTCCCTCCTTCATTCACAGGTCCCTCCATCCACAGCTCCCTCCTTCATTCACAGGTCCCTCCATCCACAGCTCCCTCCTCCATCCACAGCTCCCTCCTTCATCCACAGCCCTCTCCTCTCGTCCTTCCCCCTCCGACGTCCCCCTTATCCGCACGGTCCCCTCTCCCATTTCCTCCTCCTCCCCTCATCTCTTTCACCTCATTCCCAGCCACCAATCACACATCGCCATATCTCGGACCATGTCTTCTCATCTCCAGCCTCCCATCATATCTCGCGCATTACCTGGTTAGATAAAAAAAAGTAGGTTAGTTTTATTTGTATATATTTTAAAGTGATTTGTTTAACTTTCCTATACTTTGCACTGCTATTGTGGTTTTTTTATTGTTTGTTGTTGTAATGTTTTGACCCCGTGCCCCTATCGGACATCTGCGAAAAACAGCTTAGTACCTAATCGGATTCCTCCTGCAGTATAAATAAATATTCCAATTCTGATACGGCGCAGTTTCTTCCAGTAAAGTAGGTGCACGGGGATTGACATCAGTGTGTAAAGTACGGGGTGGGGGGGGGGTTAGGGGGGGGTAAGGAACACCAATGTTGTGGGGACCTTTACCGGCGGAAATTCTCACCACTGCCCCGCCCCACCCTTCCTGCAGGTGCCCAGGTGTGCCGTCCGCACCTTCTCGCTAGCCACCCGGCGCTGCCCTGGCTCGAGAGCGGCAAGGCTCTGGGCGGCCACGCCTCTCACGGCCCGCCGGCGTGGGCCCTCCACCACGCGGCCCAAGCGGCCCACGCGGCCCACGCGGCCCACCAGGCCCACCACCACCAGCACCACCACCACCATCCCGGCGGACCGGTCAGCGCGCCGTACCACGCGGCAAGCCCCGCGGCCCACCACCACCTCTTCGGCTTCCCGCCCACGCCGCCCAAGGACCCCGGAACGCCGGAAGCGGCGCCGGGGCAGGAGAAGGACGGCGGCGGCGGCGGCGGCGGTGGCGCCGGTAGCGGCGGTGGCGGCCAGAAGGGCGTCCACTTTGGCCTCATGACGGCTGCCGAGCAGCAGGGAATGAAGATGGAGAACTGCAGCCCGTCGCGGGGAGGGGAGCAGAGCGGCGGTGGAGGCGGTGGAGGCGGTGGCGTGCCAGCCACCACGACGCACCACCCCATCCCCATGTACCCGCCGTACCTGGGTGCTGGCGGGCAGGATTACGGCCCGGCTCTCTACTCGCACGCCGGCCTCCTTGGCAGCTCCAACTCCAGCTTCACGCCCAAGCACAAGAACAAGGCCCGCACGGCCACAGGTACACAGGGCGCGCCACGGTTTGCGAGATGTTGACTAACTTGCCATGTATACAGGAGGTCGTGGGTTCGATCCTGACTCTGATGATGCCTGTATATTTGAAGTTTGAATTTTCTCTCTCCCCGTGGTGTTTGCGTGGATTTTTATCCAGGTCCTCCGTTTCCCTCAACGTTTAAAATCAACACCACGCGTTTAGAGTGTTTGGCCGCTATAAATGTCCACGTGATGATGCGCCACTACGTTGCGCTTCGATTTGTGATGGCCGTTGTCTCTTCTGAACAAAAAGTTTTGCTGCAGCTCAGTGGAGCCTTACCTGGTAACATGAAAAATTATTTAAATAGTTTTGGTTCAGCTACGGCTACCGCGATGTAATCGCCTCGTTGGTCTAGCGGCCAGAGCCTCTGGCCGTGGTGTCACGTGACCACGCCTCCCATTCCCCACTGTCTAGTTCGCCGAGCCGATCCAGAACGAAAAGCTCAATACGTTGTCCAAAATAATTTTGGCTTGGGGCAAAGCAGGACCAGGGGGCCGGGGGGCAGGGGGCTACCATTGCCCTGTGACGCAAGTCAAGCGAGCACTGTGGACGACGTAGCGTCGCCACGTCGTCGCCTTACACGCGTCCGATTAGCACGGTTGGCAATGTACGGTGCGAAAGAAGTTCAACATACGTTTAGCCTATCCCGACGCGTCCATTGACGCACGACGCAAGGTGGCCATGGCTCGGCTTCTGTGGTGGCAAAAGCGGAAGTGCTGCCACCGCTTCACACTCGTCCCAGAATGCACCACCGCGGCACACCGTGCCATCGCCTGCTGGCGGTGTGTCAATGGCCCTGCGTGCTACAGCAGAGCTGCATCACAACTGTTTGCACTGTGTTCCACACGAGGCGGACACAATTACCGTGCTCCTTGGATAATCAAGAGTCTGGAGAATACGGTGTCTCGAAGTGTATAGGTCAACATTTGTTTATGGAAATGAGACAGTGGAGGGGGAGGGGTGCTGCGATGGGGCGGAGGGGGCAGTGCTCAAAATCCTACTCCAGGCCTGAACCAGTGGTTGGAAGTTCCACATTCCTATGGCTAGGGGGTGAGTCAACAGAACGACCACTCATGAAAGAGGTTTTTTTGGATAAGATCCTGCACATTTATGCGAACTAACCCAGAAAACCTCTAATTATGGATGATATTGGTCGCAAAAGCCTCCGTGTTAAACAGAACGACCTCTGTTCACTTCCCACATTGTACATGCAAAACTCTTTTGTCAATCCGCTGCTGGATGAAGGACCTCCCAGTCCCATATCGGTCGTAGGAGCAGGGGGTTATTTGACCCATACTTTACCATGCTGGTCAGTGCGGGTTGGTGAATCCATCAAGCATGTCCCCTGCACGAACCCTCTGCATATCTAACATGGGGTCAAACCCACACACTGCCCTATTGTGGAAACCTGCTTGTGTATCAGTGGCCACAGCTCCACGTGACTTCCCAGTCTCAGCGCTTGCTTAGCTTTCTGCCGTTTTGATTTTGGTCGTGGGGTGACTCCGTGCGACGCGGTTCCTCACGAATGCACGTCCCGTACCACCAACACGCGGGCTTGTTTTCGCAGTGTCACAGCACGCACACGCACGTGTCACGCGCACACACACGCGCACGCACGTGTCACGCGCACGCACGGGTCACCACCGTGGGATCGTCTGAGGCTAAATCGCAACCCGCATCTGCCCATCGATTTAACCGCGGCATAGCTCCAGTGTGGGTCTGCAGGTTGGGCCTGCCACGTCACAGTCTCTTGAGCTTTCCCCAACGCACTACTTGGCTGTGACCGCTTACAAACCAGCCATGTGCCTAAGCGTGCGTTGTTGCCAAACTCTGACTGAACATCTTTTCCGGGAGATGTTTGGTTTTTTTTTTACTCTGAGTATTATCATGACTAAATTCGTTTCTTTTAAATATCCTCCATTATTAAAATCCCCCGGGATTGCTTTAAATAGTCACCGGGAGAGGATCGATGGCAAATTCCGGCGGAAACTCGCGGGTCAATCTGGGGAAGGAGGGATGTGGCAACCCTCCTAGCGAGCACGCGGGCTTGGAGAGCCATCGGAGCAGCAGCAGCAGCAGCTGAAGTTTGCGACCGAGCGGAGAGGGCACGATTGCTCGTGCAGCATCATCAGCAGCGGCAGCAGCGGCGATCGCCGAATGATGCTTCTTGTGGTTGTTGTTTTTTTTTTAACGAGAGAGGAATTCTCGCTCGCTGAGACTCCGCTTGGCCCTGACCCTGGACAATCCACACGGGGATGGCTTATCCCGCCACAATCCACCTCGCCCTCCTCGTCGTCGTTTGTCTGAATGCTCCCCCCAAGCGGTTCGATCAAACCGTGGACGGGAACCTCTTCACCGCGCGGGAGAGCGTAAATCGACGAACAGGGGCGATGTTTCCTCTCTCCACGTATCCATCCACCTCTGGGCATTCAAAAATATATATATGAAATACATTTCATACCCAACCCCATCCGCCAGTGTTTCAAGACGAGCAAAAGTCTGGACCAGTTTCGACACGCAGAGTGTTAACGGAGTCAGGCTTGCCTCGAATTAATGCTGGTGGACCTGCTCGTCTTGCAGGCAAAAGAACCCTGTCTGAGCAGATGCGGGGACCTCCTTGTTCCACACGCAGTCGTAGTCGACATCCACGATTCGAATTGTTAATTGAAAGGGCGGGAGCAGTGTTTGTTTGCAGCGTTGTGACTTCCCATCTGGTTGGTGCCTCCGCCACGGTGGCTAGGAGATGTTAACTCCCTCGCCTGGTATGCAGGAGGTCGTGGGTTCCATCCCGACCCTGACGCCTGCTGCTGCTGTATATTTGGAGTTTGCGGTGTCTCTCTCTCTCTCTCTCATCAACATCATCACGGTGGCTATGAGATGTTAACTACCTCGCGTGGTGTGCAGGAGGTCGTGGGTTCCATCCCGACCCTGACGCCTGCTGCTGCTGTATATTTGGAGTTTGCGGTGTCTCTCTCTCTCATCAACATCATCACAGTGGCTAGGAGATGTTAACTACCTCGCCTGGTGTGCAGGAGGTCGTGGGTTCCATCCCGACCCTGACGCCTGCTGCTGCTGTATATTTGGAGTTTGCGGTGTCTCTTTCTCTCTCATCATCATCACGGTGGCTATGAGATGTTAACTACCTCGGCTGGTATGCAGGAGGTCGTGGGTTCCATCCCGACCCTGACGCCTGCTGCTGCTGTATATTTGGAGTTTGCATATCTCTCTCTCTCTCATCAACATCATCACAGTGGATAGGAGATGTTAACTCCCTCGCCTAGTGTGCAGGCGGTCGTGGGTTCGATCTCTCTCATCATCGTCATCATCACGGTGGTTAGGAGATGTTAACTACCTCGCCTGGTATGCAGGAGATCGTGGGTTCCATCCCGACCCTGACGCCTGCTGCTGTTGCTGTATATTTGGAGTTTGCGGTGTCTCTCTCTCTCATCAACATCATCACAGTGGCTAGGAGATGTTAACTACCTCGCCTGGTGTGCAGGAGGTCGTGGGTTCCATCCCGACCCTGACGCCTGCTGCTGCTGTATATTTGGAGTTTGCATGTCTCTCTCTCTTATCAACATCACCACAGTGGCTAGGAGATGTTAACTCCCTCGCCAGGTATGCAGGAGGTCGTGGGTTCCATCCCTACCCTGACGCCTGCTGCTGTTGTATATTTGGAGTTTGCATGTCTCTCTCTCTCTCATCAACATCATCACAGTGGCTAGGAGATGTTAACTCCCTCGCCTGGTGTGCAGGCGGTCGTGGGTTCGATCTCTCTCATCATCGTCATCATCACGGTGGTTAGGAGATGTTAACTACCTCGCCTGGTATGCAGGAGATCGTGGGTTCCATCCCGACCCTGACGCCTGCTGCTGCTGTATATTTGGAGTTTGTGGTGTCTCTCTCTCTCATCAACATCATCACGGTGGCTAGGAAATGTTAACTACCTCGCCTGGTGTGCAGGAGGTCGTGGGTTCCATCCCGACCCTGACGCCTGCTGCTGCTGTATATTTGGAGTTTGTGGTGTGTGTGTGTCTCTCTCTCCACGTTTAGAATCGACGCACGTTTACAGTACGTGGCTGCGATAAATGTACACGTGATGACAAGCCACTTCGTTGCGGTATCATTTGTGGTAGCCAGGTCGCTTCTGGTCAAGAGAGATATATAGCTCAGTGGGGGTCTTACCTGGTAAAATTTTATTCAAAACATATTTTTGTTTTTAGCTTCTCCTCTGATGCCCTCTCCATAGCCCGGAACTCCGCCCCCCCCCCCACCTCCCTCGTGCTGTTCGTCGTGCTGTCGACTTCCCTGCCTCTGTTCAGGTCCAGGCTCAAGACCTTCCTCTGCTTCCCTGCCTATGTATGACTGCCTCGCTCGCTCGCTCGCTCTCTCCCTCTCTCTCTCTCGCTCTGTCTTCATGTCAATTAACATTGCCACTGTTTCTGCCCATCGTCTTGAGATGTGTCCGCATTTAGCCGCTGCACGAAGCAACACTGAGCCCAACTCGTCACGTAGAGACACACGGAGTCACCAAAAGATCCATGGGCTCACACTGAGACCGATCGGACCAGTAGGTTAACACGGAAACCCATAGACCCGCATAGACACCTGTAGCACCACATGGCGACCCAAAGACTCACGCTGAGACCTATAGATCGGCATAGACACCTTCCAGACTCACGTGTCGACGCATAGACTTACATGTCGAACCACAGACCCGCATAGACACTTCTAGACTCGCATGTGGACCCATAGACTCACAAATAGCCCGAAAGACCCATGCGGACACCTGTCGACTCACATGTCGACCAAGTAGACTCACACGGAGAAACACTTTGGCTGCCTCCCTGTGCAAAGCCCCCCCCCCCCAATCCCCCACTGTTTGTGTGCATCGTCTCAAGCGAGATGCGGTCGCGTGCAGCAGACACTGCATGAAGAGGGCAGAAGCAGTAAGGGCGTTGTTGTCT